CGACCAAGTATTGAGTGCATAACTGAACATGATTATTTGAAGGTTGGCGTTTTTTGTATTAAAAACACTTGTCTTTCATTGGTGGGATGAAATATGCTAATTTTTTGAGACAGGCATTTTGGGTTTTCATGAGCTGTATGCCATAATCATCAGTATTAAAACAATTAAAGACCTGAAATATTTCAGTTGGTGTGCAATGAATCTGAAATAAATGAAAGTTTCATTTTTATCATTACATTATGGAAAATAATGACCTTTATCACAATATGCTAATTTTTTGAGAAGGACCTGTACAATGCCTCATTACAAGTGATGATGAGTTGGTTCCACAGTCTGGGTGTCACGACTGAAATGGCCCAGTCACTCCAACATTTGTATTTGGACTTTTGAGACAAGCCTAAAGGTTCTCTTATACTCACAGAAATCAGCTAAATAAGGTGGGGTAAAGCCATCCAGAGCTTTAAAGATCAATAATAAAAGTTTAAAATCAAATTAAAATGGAGATACAACAAAACACTCCATTGTTATGGTTGTTTGTTATATGCAGGTTAACACAAGGTCAACAAAGCAATAAAATGTTCAGGATGAGAAGAACCCATTTGACTCATTCAAAAAATTTAAAATACTAAAGCATGCAATAAAGGTACAAAATAAAGTACCAAACAGTGAAAACCAAATATAATATTTACAAGGTCCAAAATAAATATAGTAAACAACAAACATGGTAGAATATAACGTTGCAAGTAGGATGAATTAGTATAAATATTTCACAGGTAGTAATATAAGCTTAAATGTACATGATATATATTGAACAGAAGTAACATAAACTACACAGGTTATTGCACAGGTAGTGAGTAACATTGAGATGAATTATGATGGTAGTGACACATGATACAGCCACATAATGCAGCAGCAATAAACATATTAGTTGACACAGATGTGGCTTGGTGCAAAGTTATTGCCAGTTGTTCAGTGTTGTTATGGAGAGTTCAGTAATCTGACAGCTTGTGGATAATAACTGTCTTGGAATCTTTTTGTGCACGATGGCAGACTCCTGTATCGTCTGCCTGAGGGTAAAGAGTCTTTGTGCTGGGTGAGTGTGGTCCTTAATGATGCGTGCTTTACGCAGACATTGGCTGTGGTTTCCAAACACAACAGTAAAGCTACAGCAGAATGGCTGAAAAAGAAAAAAAAATCAAGATGTTACAGTCAAAGTTCCTCACAACCTGAATAAAACACGTTCTCTTAGTTCTGATATATAAATCACTTGAACTGAAAGAGGGTGACTATTTTTTATGATTGAAAATCAAATCCTTAGAAATGTATATGTTGTAAAATGCTTAATGAAATAGTAGTTTCTTTGGACGTATTCAGTTTGATTAGAGAGAGATCTGTTATAGATGTCTCCTAAAACCATTGTGGAAGGAGGACATTATTGGTGCAAGACAGGGAGACCTCTCACAGCTGGTCATGGAAAGGTGGCATGCATGATGACTCAGAGGTGACAGCCTGTGGTGCCCTGCCAAACCAACACCCCCACACCATTCCCTTTCTATTCCCATGTCCCAATTCAACCTCAGCCCCCAATCTGGATGGACAGCCCATGACTCAGAATCGTGGACTTTTGGGTCTCTCAGATTAAACACTAACCACAACAGCTGTGAGCTGTCGGGTTGGGGTCCATGTACGTATTGGCATCATGCACAAGTTTTACTCACAGTCCTGAATGAGTCAGTTTAAGGTAGATCTTTGCAGCAGTGGCAGTGTGCTGGAGTGTAACTGTGGGATTTGGCTCCTGACTCGTCAGCGTTCTTTTGATATGGTTGTTACAGGACAAGCCAGACAGTCCGTTTAGCTGTTATTACATTTCAGTTGGGGAAACTAGAACAAATTAGTCTTAATTTTTAACTTGAATCATTAAAATAATACACTTTTCTTATCAGTTCTATCTTCAGTGTCATTTTAGAATTGATTTGTAAAAGCATTCAAATGTCGATCACAGTGTGTTCTCTCTGCAGGCGGTTTTCTCCTCGGTTTTCTACTTTGCTTCAGTCCCGCTCTACCAGGGATTTCTGATTATTGGGTGAGATACAAACTCTGAATGGTGATGACTTATCAAGAGAGTATTTGGCTGCCTTATTTCTCTGGAATTTCCTCTATTAAAGCTCTGTTGAAATGCGAGAACTGGAACATTTGAAATTATGCTGACTCTAGCACATGTGTCCTTTCATTTTATTTATTTTTTCACTTTTGTCTGTTGCAGCTACTCTACAATCTACACCATGTTCCCTGTGTTCTCACTGGTATTGGACAAAGATGTTAAGTCAGAAGTTGCCATGTTGTACCCAGAGTTGTATAAAGATCTTCTGAAGGTATTTGATTGTTGCTGTGCAGACACAAACACTGTCTCACACAGAAACATATTGTTAATATGATGCTTTTTGTTGTGTGTTGCTCATAGGGTCGCCCTCTGTCATTCAAGACATTTTTGATATGGGTCCTTATAAGTATATATCAAGGTAAGAGATATGTTTAACACTTGAAATAATGCTGAACATTTCAGTAAACAGAGTCAGCCATTAACGGCATTCTAACATATTCAGATTGTAATCTTTGTACTTATTTCTGTCTATTCCAAAACATCTGAAGAGATCAAACTGCAGTTCAGATTGACTGATAAAACAGATCGGATCCATAACAGACAGGTTCTGCTTCATGTCCGGTGTCTCCTACCACCCCACGCATTTTTGTCAGAAAGCTGAGGGAGCTTCCCGACACGGACCGTTTGCAGTGAAAAGCTGTTTACAAGCTACACCCTGAAACTTTCAATCTATTTCTATCAAAACATGAGCTTCCCACTTTACAAGTGAGCTTAAGATTTACTATTTTAAAGCGGCTGGGCTTAGTTTGCAAACCACCGTTTTGTGTGTTGGTTTCACTTTATCTCCTATTTTTGTCCAGCAAAATGGAACACCCTGCAGTATTAGTTTGTTCATGGCTGCAGTTTCCCCCAAAGATTAAAATGTGCACAAAAGAACGGGTTTAGACAAAAGGGTTTCCCAAACTAATAATTCCAGCCGCTTTAATAGAAAAACAAGCTATCAGAACATTTTCATTCTTTTTTCCACTATTCATTTATTTAATTTTGATTATTTATAATGTATTTTTGTTCTTTATTATAATTTTTAACCTCTTTGGTTCTCCTGTTGTTTCAAAGCAGCCATTCAGTTATTTTAGTATTCTCTGTTTTTCTGGACATTTTCTTTTGCAAAAGAAACAAAAATAGTTGTTACTAGTTCCAAAAAGGCAAACGATAATAATTGCCACAAAATTTTGATAAAGTATAAATATGCTTCATTGTATTAGAATGAAAACTCTTCTAAAATTCAAAAAGCAATCTTGAAGACTCCGCCTTACTTGTTTTGGTTTTTTTTTTTGCTTAAATTTTTGTTGCTACAGAAGGCAGTATGAAATCATTTAAATAGCAAGTTGTGATGCTACGTGTGCACACAACTTCAACTTGGGCAGTTAAAGATTAGTAAATCATCATGTTTTTTTTTTTTTTTTTTACATTTAGGTGTGTCAGCAAGGATATTAGAAAAGCATTCAGGACTTTGTGTTGTGATAATAAATTATATAAATTATATAGTGTATATAAATTCATGAACACAAACCAGGATCTTCTGGAAGCGTGAGAAAATTAAAAAAAAAAAAAGTAAAGAGAGAAAATGTAGTAAAATAGGTTCTTCAAGCAGTACAGTTATGTTTTATTTCTAATAGTTGCTAAGCTTGTTTCCAAAAAAAAGAAAGATGCCCCCTCAATTAGGCCACTTCTGTTGTGTCTTGAAGACATCAAAGCCTGGATGTCTTTAAACTTCTTAAATTTCAATGACAAGAAAACAGAAGTGATGGTGTTTGGTCCTAGTGGCTCTTGTGAACCTTGCCCTGTTGATCTGGGCCCTCTGGCACCACATGTAAAGAAAGCTGTTTCTAACTTGGGTTTTAAAATGGACAGTGATTTTAAATTAGAGTCCCAGATTGGAGCGGTGGTCAAGACCAGTTTTTATCACCTCAGACAGCTGGCTAAGGTAAAGTCCATCCTTACAAAACAGCAGCTGGAAACAGTAATCCATGCCTTCGTCACCTCTCGGCTGGATTACTGTAACGCTCTTTACCTTGGAGTCAGCCAGTCCTCCATCAGACGCCTCCAGTTGGTCCAGAACGCTGCTGCTCGGCTTCTAACTGGAGTTCAAAAAAGGGAGCACATCACCCCCACTCTGGCTTCACTCCACTGGCTGCCTGTTCATTTTAGAGTTCATTTTAAGATTCTTTTATTTGTTTTTAAAAGTTTAAATGGTCTTGCTCCATCCTACCTCTCTGAGCTGCTTCACCCATACTCTCCTGCTCGGTGCCTCAGATCAGCTGATCAGCTGCTCCTGGAGGTGCTGAGGTCTAAGCGGAGGCTCAGAGGGGACAGAGCTTTTTCTGTTGCTGCTCCAAGACTGTGGAAGGATCTCTCTCTTCCCATCAGACAAGCCCCTTCACTGTCCAGTTTTAAAACTCTTTTAAAAACACATTTTTACTCCCTGGCTTTTAGCACACACTGAATTTACTCTGCACTGTTTTTATTACTTTTATTGATCTTAATGTTTTAACAACTGTTTTTATGTGTTTAAATGTTCTTGATTTTATATGTACAGCACTTTGTGGCAGCTGTGGTTGTTTTAAAGGGCTTTATAAATAAAGTATTATTATTATTATTATTAAAAAAACAAGAAAAATTAGATTAAAAAAATATGTGTGATAGTTAAAAGCTGACAAAAAGGTTATAAATTTCTAATTTTTTATTTATTTATTTTTTTAGCCTTTATTTATCCAGGTAGTCTCATTGAGCCACGAGAACTCATTTTCAAGAGAGACCTGTTTGGGGAGCACATGGTGGGGTTAAGGGCCTTGCTCATGGGCCCAGGGTGGGGCGAATGAGGGTGGGGGCAAGTGTGGGTGTTTCACCGACCCCACCCACAATTTTGATGTTGTCGGGGCCGGGGCGTGAACCGGCGATCTTCGGATCACAAGCCCACCTCTCTAACCTCTGCGCCACCACTCCCCTACTAATCTTTAACTGCCCAAGTTGAAGTTGTGATGCTACATGTGCACACAACTTGCTATTTAAATGATTTCATACTGCCTTCTGTAGCAACAAAAATCTAAGCAAAAAAAAAACAAAACAAGTAAGGCGGAGTCTTCAAGATTGCTTTTTGAATTTTAGAAGAGTTTTCATTCTAATACAATGAAGCATATTTATACTTTATCAAAAATTTGTGGCAAATAAATGGTTTTACAGTATATTTTTATTTGACTTATACAGAAAATGGCAAATAAAATAATAATAAAATGAATAAAATTTAAAGGCCTACCATTCATTGGAGGGATGCATGTCGCCCACCTCCTTTAGGGGTTTTACTCCGAGATGATTTTAGGTTGAGAGAAATGAGTTGTTGCTGTTTTGGTCAAGCCTCATAAATGACTTGATACACAAACACATGATATCATGGGGTGTATGTGGTGGGGCGACTCTCAGCTAGTACCACATCAGTTTCAGCTCCACGTGTGCTGGTCATAAAATTAGAATATCATGAAAAGTTGATTTATTTCAATAATTCCATTCAAAAAGTGAAACTTGTATACAAACCGGATTCCAAAAAAGTTGGGACACTAAACAAATTGTGAATAAAAACTGAATGCAATGATGTGGAGGTGCCAACATCTAATATTTTATTCAGAATAGAGCACAAATCACAGATCAAAAGTGTAAACTGAGAGAATGTATCATTTTAAGAGAAAAATCTGTTGTTTCCAAATTTCATGGCGTCAACAAATCCCAAAAAAGTTGGGACAAGTCCATTTTTACCACTGTGTGGCATCCCCCCTTCTTCTTACAACACCCAACAGACGTCTGGGGACAGAGGAGGCCAGTTTCTCAAGTTTAGAAATAGGAATGCTCTCCCATTCATGTCTAATACAGGCCTCTAACTGTTCAATCGTCTTGGGCCTTCTTTGTCGCACCTTCCTCTTTATGATGCACCAAATGTTCTCTATAGGTGAAAGATCTGGACTGCAGGCTGGCCATTTCAGTGCCCGGATCCTTCTCCTACGTAGCCATGATGTTGTGATTGCTGCAGAATGTGGTCTGGCATTATCGTGTTGAAAAATGCAGGGTCTTCCCTGAAAGAGATGACATCTAGATGGGAGCATATGTTGTTCTAGAACCTGAACATCGTTCTCTGCATTAATGGTGCCTTTCCAAACATGCAAGCTGCCCATGCCACAAGCGCTCATGCAACCCCATACCATCAGTGATGCAGGCTTCTGAATGTAGCGTTGATAACAACTTGGGCTGTCCTTGTCCTCTCTGGTCCGGATGACATGGCGTCCCAGTGTTCCATAAAGAACTTCAAATCGTGACTCATCTGACCACAGAACAGTCTTCCATTTTGCCACACTCCATTTTAAATGAGCCCTGGCCCATTGCAAACGTCTGAGCTTATGGAGCTTGCTTAGAAATGGCTTCCTCTTTGCACTGTAGAGTTTCAGCTGGCAACGGCGGATGGCACGGTGGATTGTGTTCACTGACAATGCTTTCTGGAAGTATTCCTGAGCCCATTCTGTTATTTCCTTGACAGTGGCATTCCTGTTTGAGGTGCAGTGACGTTTAAGGGCCCGGAGATCACGAGCATCCAGTAGAGTTTTACGGCCTTGACCCTTGTGCACAGCGATTGTTCCAGATTCTCTGAATCTTTTGATGATGTTATGCACGGTTGATGATGATAACTTAAAAGTCTTTGCTATTTTACGCTGGGTAACACCATTCTGGTATTGCTGCACTATCTTTCTGCGCAACAATGGTGGAATTGGTGATCCTCTTACCATCTTGGCTTCTGAGAGGCACTGACACTCTGAGAAGCTCTTTTTATACCCAATCATGTTGTCAATTGACCTAATTAGTGTTAATTGGTCTTCCAGCTGTTCGTTATATGCTCAATTTCCTTTTTCCAGCCACTTATTGCTACTTGTCCCAACTTTTTTGGGATTTGTTGACACTGTGAAATTTTGAATCAACATATTTTTCCTTTAAAATGTTACATTTACTCAGATTAAACTTTTGATCTGTCATCTTTGTTATATTGCGGATAAAATATTGACATTTGCCATCTCCACATCATTGCATTCAGTTTTTATTCACAATTTGTTTAGTGTCCCAACTTTTTTGGAATCCGGTTTGTATTATATTCATTCATTACACACAGACTGATATATTTCAAATGTTTATTTCTTTTAATGTTGATGATTATAACTGACAACTAATGAAAACCCTTAATTCAGTATCTCAGAAAATTAGAATATTACTTAACACTATGAAAAAATGATTTTTATAAATATTGGCCAACTGAAAAGTATGAACATGAAAAGTATGAGCATGTACAGCACTCAATACTTAGTTGTTGCTCCTTTTGCCTGGATTACTGCAGCAATGCAGCGTGGCATGGAGTCGATCAGTCTGTGGCACTGCTCAGGTGTTATGAGAGACCAGGTTGCTCTGATAGTGGCCTTCAGCTCTTCTGAATTGGTGGGTCTGGTGTATCACATCTTCCTCTTTACAATACCCCATAGATTTTCTATGGGGTTATGGTCAGGCGAGTTTGCTGGCCAATTAAGAACAGGGATACCTGCTCAAAACTTGTTGGTACAAGCTGTGCACAGACAAGTCTACGTCCCTCATCCCACACAAACACACACACACGTCTGCCAAACCCGTCAACAAAATTCATGGATGAGATGAACACCCCGCCATGGCAAGTTAACTAGGGGAAACACTGCCATGTCTTGCATACGTCTGAGCATGGTGGTTCTTGAAGCACTGACTCCAGCTGCAGCCCACTCTTTGTGAATCTCCCCCACATTTTGGAATGGGTTTTGTTTCACAATCCTCTCCAGGGTGCAGTTATCCCTATTGCTTGTACACTTTTTTCTATCACATCTTTTCCTTCCCTTCACCTCTCTATTAATGTGCTTGGACACAGAGCTCTATGCTCTATGCTCTATGCCTCTTTAGCGATGACCTTTTGTGTCTTGCCCTCCTTGTGCAAGGTGTCAATGGTCATCCTTTGAACAAATGTCAAATCAGCAGTCTTCCCCATGATTGTGTAACCTACAGAACTAGACTGAGAGACCATTTAAAGGCCTTTGCAGGTGTTTTGATTTAATTAGCTGATTAGAGTGTGGCACCAGATGTCTTCAATATTGGGGCAGCTGTGGCTGAGTGGTTAGAGCAGTCGTCCTCCAATGCAAGAGTTGGGGGTTCTAATCCACCAGCAGTCACATGCTGAAGTGTTCCTGGGCAAGACACTGAACCCCTCATAGCCTCGGATGTGTGTCCCATCAGTGTATGAATGTGATCTAAAGCTCTGATTAGTCTAATTAGAATGATTTGTTCAGTTAGCTTTGTAGATATCTAGTAGAGTGCTTTATGAATGGGTAAATGAGGACACAGATTGTAGTGTAAAGCACTTTGAGTATCTTGAAATAAGATAGAAAGGTGCTATATAAGTACAGTCCATTTACCATTTATATCCTTTTCACAATATTCTAATTTTCTGAGAAACTGAATTTGGGGTTTTCATTAGTTGTCAGTTATAATCCATCCATCCATTATCTTTACCCGCTTATTCCATTTTGAGTCACGGGGGTCGCTGGTGCCCGTGTCCAGCAATCACTGTGCAAGGGGCGGGGTACACCCTGGACGGGTCGCAAGTCCATCACAGGGACACATAGAGACAAATGAGACAAACAACCATTCACTCTCTCATTCACACCTAGAGACAATTTAGAGTTACCAATCAGCCTAACATGCATGTTTTTGGACTGTGGGAGGAAACCGGAGTACTCGGAGAAAACCCACGCTTGCACGGAGAGAACATGCAAACTCCACCCAGAAAGGCCCCTGGACTGGGGTTTGAAGCAAGGACCTGCTCGCTGAGAGGCAGCAGCTCTACCAGTTGCGCCACCGTGCTGCCCTCAGATATAATCATCAACTTTAAAATAAATAAATAAACATTTGAAATATATCTGTCTGTGTGTGTGTAATATACAGTTTTCATATTTTGAATGGAATTACTGAAATAAATCAACTTTTTCATGATATTCTAATAGTATGACCAGCACCTGTATATCTGATTGACTTGTAGCCATTACTGTGTAAGCTAAGACGATTAGCTGTGACAGCCATCTTAAATTGCACTTAATTCTGATAATGGTGTCAGTGTGGGGCAGGGGTGTCAAATTCACTAAAGGGGGCCAAAATTAAAATCTTTTTCAAACTAAGGGCCAATTTCAGAATCTACATTAACTCAAATCAGATACCCAACATCTTTTCTTGGTCACAGTTTCCTCAACAAGAGTTTGTTGTGCTTTCAACGTCATAATCAAAGATTACTGAAAAAATCCAAGGGATAGAAGAAGTATTTTACATTTCACATATCATCTTGGGAGCCAGATAAAATGTCAACGAGGGCCACATTTAGCCCTCAGGCCTTGAGTTTGACTCATATGGTATGGGGCATCCCTGTGAATAAAAACAGACTCAGTTCAAACATTTAGGAGAAAAACTGACCTGCCACATACACACAGACACACATTCGCATTTCTATTCTTATTAGGACCGTGTATTGACTTCCATTCATTTCTATATCCTAACCCTGATCCTTACCCTACCCTAATCATTACTAACCCTAACCTTAAGCTAAACTCAATTGCCACCTTAGTCCTAAACCTACCCCCTAACCCAAAAATGGGAGTCTCACTGTATTAGGAGGACCGGGCTTTGGTCCCCAAAAGGACTAGTAGTCCTAACTAGGTGTGTGTTTAGATCAGAAAAGTTCTAAAAAGGTAACAAAAACCAAATACAAATCACCCCCCCCCCCCCCCCCCACCCCCCCCCCCCCCCCCCCACCCAACATCACTCTTCACCTTCCCCGCACCCCTCGTTCTCCGCATC